TCAGCTCCAGGGGAAGGCTTTCTCTCTCTGTCAGCTCTGGAGAAAGGTCCTTGTCATCAATCTTCTCCTGAACTAGAAGCTTCTCAGCATAGGGACCCCTGGTCCAAAGGATGTGCTATGCTCCCAGAGGTGCTTCTTTCTTGGCAGTATGAGGTCCCCATGTCTCTCTGCTCACTTCTCTCTTTTATATCACAAAAAAGATTGACTTAAAACACAACCTAATCTTGTAGATGGACTCCTGTCTCATTAACATAGCTGCCTCTAATCCCACCTCATTAACATTACTCGTTGCCATTGAGTCAGTTCTGACCCATAGTGACCCTACGGGACAGAGTAGAACTGCCCCATAGGGTTTTCAAGGAGCGGCTGGATTTACAACACGTAAGAAAATCACGTCAGATGACCAAATGGTGGACAGTAACACAATACTGGGAATCATGGTCTAGCCAAGTTGACACACATTTTGAAGTGACATGATTTGATCCTCCTTAACAGTGGAATCAGTAACCACCTTCAGAATCTAACTGGACTCCAGAGGATTTTATTTTATTTTACCTTATTAATTTATTTATATTGTTGTTTTATATATATATATATATACTTATACATATATAGTTGTAATTTATATACACATACACATATATATACGGCATTTACCAATTCCATGTTTTACCTGTATAAGAGGTTTTCAATAAAAATTGCTAATCATCAAAGAACAGATTTTAGCTTGGAATGTGTCTGTAGAATAACATGATAACAGTGTTATTCTATTCAAAGTCTAGTGTTCTTAAAGTTATGTAAGATTCAGAAACTCCAGGTGTCCTCCAAAATATACGAATGCTTCTTGAAATCCCGTTTAATGTTTGCAAGACTTTTGTCATTCCTGCCACATGCATAAATTTTACATTTCTGGCTTCAATAAGTTAAAAGATCTAAAGATGTGTAGTTGCCAAGTACTACTGTCTTTCAAATTACATATTTTTTTGGTGTTACCTTTTCAAGGTTTTCAGGCTTGGCATATAATGGAGCTAATTACATTTTCTTCCTAGGAGGCAGCCAGCTAGACCACTGCCCCAGGCACATAACCTCAGCTTACTATTTTCCTTAGCTCATGTATTCTAAAATCCAGCTGCTGATGGGTTTGTGTAACTACAGAGCCAGTTTCAGTCTCAACCGTGACAGCACACATCACAGAAAGGTGACAGTAGAGGCACATCTTCCTGTGTGAGTTGGCTGTGGATGACAATCTGCCAAATGAAAAGAATGGAAGAGGCACTCATTGTATAAAAATGAATCAGCTTGGTTTAGCTTTAAGGTATGTTGCAAGATCCTAGAAATACCATTCCATTTTCTCTGAGATTGTATGTTGTGAGCAACCTAGAAGATATTAAAAATGGAATCTTGCGGGAAAAGGCTTCTTTTTGTAATTTCATTAATGCATCTTCATTATTAAGCAGTTTTGTCAATCTTTATATGAAATAAAGGAATCTGTATTTAATAACAGCCAATTTTGGGCAGTCACTCTATTATTTATGTATGCATGCATATAATTTTACCTTTAATAAACATTTTTCCTATGGAATAATGGAGGAAATGAGCAGCAAGTAGTTAAATAATTTGCCCAAACTACCAAACAGTTGACCTGGAATTTAAACTTAACTTCATTTAACTGCTAATCCTTGGCTCTTTCTACTTTAATACACTGTATGATAGTGTTATGTTTAAAGAGAGACCCCTTTAGTTAGAATTGTTTGGGTAATATTCATGAAAGAGAGTAGTATTTATGTGTGTGCCTGTACATATGTATGGTATTTATTTTAGACTATAAATTCCTTGAGGAGAACTTTTAGTTGTTATAAAATTATTTATATGTAATATGGCTTTTATTGAGGATAATAGTTTCACTTATAGAAAGGTCTCAGTGTTACCCCTGGAAATGAAGAGAGCCATTACAAAGAAAGCAATGACTATCTCGACCTTAGGGTCAGGTATGGATTGGAATACTAAAGAATTTATAGAAATCTGCTTTACTGAAAAAACCAACATAAAGAATTAATCTCTGTAAGACATTATCTTAGAATATAAAATATGGGTCTGTTTATGTGTTACATAAACTGACAAATGATGAAAATTAGATGTATATGGACATTCCATATTCATGGAATGGAAGGCTTAATATAGTTAAGATGTCAATACTAACCAAAGCAAGATGTAAGTTCAATGCAATCCCCAACAAAATTTCAGTTGCCTTCTTTGCAGAAATGGTAAAGCTAGTCCTTAAATTTATATGGAAGGGCAGGAGACCCCGAATAGCTAAAGCAATCGTGAAGAAGAAGAAGAAAGTAGGAGGACTCACACTTCCTGATTTCAAAACATAAAGCCACAGTAATTAAAACAGCTTGGCACTTGGGTAATAATAGACATGTAGACCAATGGAAAATAATTGAGAGTCCAGAAATAAACTCATACATCTATGGTCAGCTGATATTCGACAAAGGTGCTAAGTCCATCAAAAGGAGAAGGAAGAGTCTTTCAATAAATGATGCTGGTAAAACTGCATTTCCACATACAGAACAATAAATCGGGATTCAAACCTTACACCATACACAAAAACAAATTCAAAATGGATCAAGGGCCTAACTCTGAAAACTAGAACCATAAAATTTTTAGAAGAAAAAGTAGGGGTGAAGCTGTGGAACCTAGTTTGAGCAATGGGCTATCAGATATAACAACAAAAGCAGGAGCAGCAAAAGACAAAATAGATAAATAGGACCTCATAAAAATAAAATACTTTTGTTCATCTAAGGGCTTTATCAAAAAAGTGAAAAGACAGCTTATAGATTTGGAGAAAATTTTTGTGAACAATATATCTGATAAAGGTCTAATATCAAAATATATAAAATGCTTCTACAACTTAACAATGAAAAAACAAAAAAATTCAATAAAAAATGGAGAGTGGATGAACCCCTGAAACTATTGCCCTGAGCTAATCTTTAAACCTTAAAACAAAAATACTTCCTAAGGTCTTCTTAAAACCAAACAATAGTTTAGCTTAAATAGTAAAAAATATCTGCTTTGAGATTGTTCGCTTTTAAGAACTATCTATATGAGATCAAATTGAGTAGATAGGAAGCCTAGGGGGCAGTGAGTTTATGTTAATGATGGAGGACCTGCTCAGAAAAGGAAGGTGAGAATGGTTGCACAACTCGAAGAATGTAATCAGTGTCACTCAATTGTACATGTAGAAACTGTTCAAAAAAAAGAATGTTGCCAGATTGTGATAAATGTAACTAATGTTACTGAACAATTTGTGTGGAAATTGTCAAATGGGAACCTAACTTGCTATGTAAACTTTCACCAAAAACTGAATAAAATATTATTATTAAGAAAAGAGAAAAAATGGGCAAAGGACTTGAACCGACATTTCATTGAAGAGGATATTCAAATGACAATAAGCACATGAAAAAAAAATGCTCAAAATCATTAGCCATTAGGGAGATGTACGGTCATGCACTGCATAATGTTCTTTCAGTCAAGTTCCGACCACATATACGTCTGTAGTCCCGTAAGGTTATAATAGAGTTCAGAAATCCTGACTGAAGAATGGAACATAGCAGACCTAACTGGACGTAGCAAATGCAACAGCTTCCCACATGCAACGCATGTATCTCATGTCTCTTGTATACAAAATGATTGCATTGCCAGGTGTATAATGGTACAGTACATATATAACCTACAATACATATGTCTTGATATGTCATTATAAACACTTGTTTTACTGGCTTATGTATGTACTGTATTGTACTTTCTATCATTATTTTAATGTGAACTTTCTGTACTTACAAGTAAAAAGTTCATAACCCAGGGACTACCTGTAATATGGTATTCACACAACGTCCAAATCACATATCATATTTCACAGAATGTATCTTGGACGTTAAGTGATACATAACTAAATCAAAACCCAGTGAGATACTATCTCACCTCCATTAGAATGGCAATGATCAAAACAAAACTGAAAACAATAGGTTGGTAAAGTTGTAGAGAAACAGAAACCCTCATCCTTTGCTGGTAGGAATGTAAAATGTTATAGCAACTGTGGAAAACAGTTTGGTAGTTCCTCAAAAGTTGAACATGGAACTACCATGCAACCCAGCTATTCCGTTCTTATGTATAGACTCAAGAGACGTGAAAATAGCAACACAGACACATGTACACCAAGGTTCATTGCAACTCTATTCACAATAGCCAAAAAGTGGAATCAACTGAAATGTCCATCAACATGAATGGATAAACAGCGCGTGGTATATACACACAATGGAATACTAAAAAAACCAATCGTTGTAGTAGAGTCAATTCCCCCTCATAGTGACCGTGTAGGACAAAGTAGAACTGCCCCATAGGGTTTCCAAGGAGCGGCTGGTGGATTCAAACTGCCAATGTTTTGGTTAGCAAGCAATCTTTTAACCACTGTGCCTTTAGGGCTCCTAATGGAATATTACTCAGCCATAAAGAAAAATGAATCTCCAGTGCATGACACAACATGGATGAACCTGGAAAGCATCATGCTGAGTGAAATAGTTTCAAATGGACAAATACTGTATGATCTTGTGTATATGAAATAAGCAAATACATAGGACCAAAAATGATTCATGTTTACCAGGGGTGAAGGGAGTTTTTTGTTTTTGTTTTTTTTTGCTTATGAGGCAGTGAGTTTATGTTAATGGTGCTGGAATAATTTGGAAAAGGATAGCAAGAATGGTTGCACAACTTGACGAATGTAATCAATGCATTGAATTACACATACAGAAATTGATGAATTGGTGTATGTTGTGCATATTTTCACCACAAAAAAAAGATGGATAAATTGATGTAGGTAATCATACATAAATATATAAAGTGATAATGAACTCATTCCTTACCAAGGCAAAATCAATTCTACATTCCAGCTTCTATAACAGTCTTGAATAATCGCTTTTATTGTTTGTTTGTTTCTACAGTTGGACAGTGTCACCTCCCTGATTCAAGCAGCCAAAAATTTAATGAATGCTGTAGTGCAGACAGTGAAAATGTCTTACATTGCCTCAACCAAGATCATCCGAATCCAGAGTCCTACTGGGCCTCGTCACCCAGTTGTGATGTGGAGAATGAAAGCTCCTGCAAAAAAGCCCTTGATTAAAAGAGAGAAGCCAGAGGAAACCTGTGCAGCTGTCAGACGAGGCTCAGCGAAGAAAAAAATCCATCCAGTGCAAGTCATGAGTGAATTTAGAGGCAGACAATTCTACTGAAACCACTATTCTTCTCTAGTGCCTATATTACAAAGTCCTGGCTAACTGCACTGCTTTATTTTACACTTGATTAATTCTTTAGGTTCACTAAGGTTTGGAGTGTAACCCACAAATAACATAAAATTTTGGAGGCTGAACCAATGAAAGAAACTTATATTTGGGACCATGTCATTTCATCTCTGTATGGCAAGCACCTAATAAAACTGTTGCCTTTGAGTCACATTCCGACTCATAGCAAATAGGAAATCAATATATGCTGGTTGAATGAATGAAAACTTCTGGTGTCATTCAGCCTTTCCTGTCACAGGAAATATATTCATTACCAAATGAACACAGGAGGCTCAAGTAAGTCCTGTTCTCCTGTAATGAATGATTCAAGTACACCACGCTTTTTATTTTGAATTAAAACACACACATGAGCTCTTGACTTGGTCTTCAATGGAAACAAAATACTTTGTAAAGTATTTACCCATTTAATACCCATTTACCTGACCTAACCTGACAGCAATGTATGATTCCCACTATAGGAAAAAAAAAAAAAAAACTTTCAATACCTATATATCTGCATCCATTGTCAACTGATTAAGCCAGCATCCATCAGAAACTAAACAAGCTTGAGCATTCAAGCTACTTGCTGGATTTTGAAGGTCAGCCTTGGTTACTAAGAAAGTGCCTTATTAACATTATATAGGTTACAATGAGCTTGGATGCCACAAATGTGCTTTTTAGTGTTTCATTGTGTTCAGTAGTTCTAAACTTTGAATGTTGGATTCAAAAGGGCCCATCAGAATATATATACGGAGGAAGAGTTATACCCAGTTGGGAAATAGGGACACATAACTAAGTTCCAGAGTGAGTTATGATAACAGAAGTATAAGGTGTTCTACATGACTAAAAATTCATTTGTATCAGCTTGCAATGGTAATTAAAAGGAAAAGGCCTGTTTGAAAACCTTTTGGCATTGAGTAAAATATAAGTGTGTGAATTGTACCATTGAACTATGAAGTAGAGTTAATGGCAATGAAGCTGGGGTGATTTTTAATAACATTCTTTTAAATAAAAGTCATTGGGGTCATCTTATAACTCCAATTGCTGTGCTCATCCCTAGTTGAGTTTGTAATTGACTTCATAATAGTCTCAGAGTGTAGTGCATTATCTACTGCTTCTTTCTCTCAGATAAAATGTCGTTTTTGCTTTGGGGTTTCCATAAGTTCTTTGGAAGAGTTAAGCTTCAGTTTTACTTTGTCTCATACACAGTGCCCCATCACAGTATTTTTAATATGCATTCCGCACTCTACTTCATTATATTGACGGCGCTATAATTGTAGCTTCTCATTTGTACAAAATTGCCTCTGATGAGTTGACTTAACATCATGTCACCTTAGGGTGATGAGGTAACATTCATACGTACAACACCAGTTGATGTAAGGAGGGCCATTTTGGGTAAAATGATGTTTGAAACAGAAATACGTAAAGGTTGAGAGAATGCTGTGTATGATATCTTGAACAAATTGATAGGAACATAGTGGAATAGCGTATATAAAGAAGGATGTATTTAATAGATCATTACTAATTAAGGGGAACTTGTTAACTTTCTTTTATTGTAATGAATTATTTCATTCTTCCAAATGCTGGGTGCATACAGTTCCTGGAGGGTGAAGGCAATATACTCCTCCCTGTCTTGCACTATGGACTAGACCAAAATAACTATCTGGGAGAGATTCCACTCCTCAAAAGCGAATGAAGTGTGGAAGAGAATTCTCTTTCTTGTAATTATCTAGACAATTAAGGTAAAATAGAAAGTTTCTTTTGTTGAAATGCTACCATTATAATCTTCTCTAAGTCTATGCATTGCAAGTGTTATCCATGACATTTTTTCAGGTAGAAGAATGAATTTATAATTTAGTAAAGAAAAGATTAAAAAACACAAATACCAAACTACTGGCGATAGCTTAGCTCCTAAAAAAATGTGCTCAAAAATCAAAAGAATCTCATTTAGAAAATTTCATGTCCATTTTACCTTCAATCACAGGCTGGAATTTAGAATGTAGCATTGGATGCCAAAAGGTCAGACATGACTTGAAATTATACAATTACCAAATAACCTCCATCTGTTTAACAAAAATAACTCTTTACCCAAAATGTGAACAGGAGTCTTCTCCAATGTAGGTAGACTTCAAGCTTACTTCAAGGCAAGCAAGTACAATTAAAGAAAACCTAATACAATTTTTATTAAGTGAATGTCCCAGGAGTGAGATCTGCTGTAGCACTCGAAGGTGCAATAAACACAAGACGCATAGAACTGAGAAAGACACCTGTCTACCTGAGTGAATTCCTGCAGTAGGCAGCATTATCCAACATTCAACTGGATTAAAACTTCTGATTTTATAAATGCTTGTAGATAAGGGAAAAGTTGGCAGCAAAGAAATGAATAAATCTTTGTATTATAAAGCATAGATAAATGAATATAATCGATAAGCGTGACTCTTATAGACATATTTATACTTAAGCCCTTCTTCTGCAAAGGGATTTTAGGAATTTCTCAGTGAGAGTGATAGTTGGCATTCCATCTATGTGCTTTCTGAAATCACTTCACAGAGATTGGTGCTTCTATGATATTTGCTTGATCTTGTTAATGAGAACTCAAATTTCTATTACAGTGAAATCTATTTTTGTTAATTTAACTAGCTAATAAATCCTTGGGAAGAAGAGGGTTTATACAACTTAAAAGGGCTGTTCCTTTCCTGATTAGCCATCAGCATCACTGTCAAACATTAGACTGAAATCATAATGATAACTTGGAAAACATCCATGAAACCATAATCCACTAATGATTCTTCTACCTAGAAAAGCTGGAAGGTTTTCATCAAACATGCAAGGTGAGAAATATAAATATCTTACTTTTATTTATCAAAAATGGAAATTATTGGGTTAAAATACTTGTTTCTTCCTAATGGAATTTCTGGATACAGATTGATCAGTGTCTCAGGGAAAACAATCAAGGACTAAATTTGTAGGCTAATTTATTGTTTCCTGTCTTGTCTAAAGATGTGAATGGAAATTATGAATGTATTAGAAAACGTATTCCTCACGTTCATAAGTGTAACTTCCAGCCTTTGCAAACACCTTAACTTTGCAGTATCAATATAACATATAAATTCCCCATAAAATTACTTCTGTACAAGGGCTATACAGAGAGGCCCATTCGTGTAGTCTGGTACTCTTGACAGATTTACCAGCCTTTAAGTGGGCTAGTTTTCAAGTCGTATTACAGAAAGACAGTTAAAATTGTGAAAACACAAGAGTTCAATTTAGACCTTCAAAAACTCAGTAATAATTGTTCCTCAAACTCAGTAATGACTGGTTGAAAAGGCTAGTGTTTGACAGCAGGGAAAGTGTCTTCGGTGGCTTCCTACACTTTCACTTTCAGGATGGTCTTCTCATTTGTCCCACTCCTGGGCTCAGTATCCTCCTATTAGCTGCTCACAGTTTTCTGTTAGAGTGAGGCAGTCAGGCCGGCCTGTCCAAGCCTATTACCCCAAGTAATGCCCTTTCCTCTTACTCCATACACCAATAATATTTCTCTCCCATCTCCTATTCCTTTAGGTGTCTATCCATTACATAGAAATTGACTCATAAATTCTGCAGGGCTTTAGTTAAAATTCTGAATGCTGTTCAGCAGCATTATTCCTTGGTTCTTTCTATTCCCCAAATCGTTCTTATCCTTTTTGGTGTCAAATGTACATTTCCATGCTAGGGGTTGTGTTTCCCATGACTACAGATTTCTGTACGGGGTAGAATGAGCAGAATGAGATCTGAGGCTTTTTCTGGTGATCCTGTCAATTCTCTGGGGAACTCACTGCAGAATCACCAGCCTGTTTCAGCATGGTTGTAAGTAATTCTGTAGTTCAGCAAAGCAGGCATCAGACTCTGAAGTTGAACAAAATCTGTCCTTTCCTTTGTCAGCCTGTCTTTTGCTAAGATGGCCTGGCCTGCCTGTTGCATATTTAGGAATTGGTAGCCATTTTTTTCTGTTTGGAAAATCAGTAATATGTATATTCGATTTGATCAGAAAATCTAGGGGCAGCCAGTTTAAAAGATTATAACTTGGATGTTATTTTAATACTTCTTTTAAAGTAAACTAGGAAAATGACTACAATCTGAAATGTTATTGTTTTCGTTTATATATCATTTGTTAAGATGAATACGGCACAGCCTTTCTTTCTTCAGAACTCTCCTTTCATACCATTATTATATTTTTAGTATTAGTACTATTATTATATTTTTAGTATTAGTATTAGGCATGTTACTGTCAAATAAACAAGGCAGATCTAATGAAAAAAATGCCTACATATAAAGTAGTTTAAGAGTTTTCATTTTGGCCCTTTGGGTCTAATTAGGAAAGGAAATATAGTTGTTATTAAAACCGGGTGTACGCAACTGAAGCTATCTTAATCAAGGCTCTTAACGCTATCTTAGACACCTCAAAAAGAGAGAGGAAAGGAAAAGAATTGCAGTTTTAAAGACAATCTTTTGCTATTTTTTACCAACTTGCGTGAACAGGACATATATGTTTGTACTAAAGCAAAAGAAGGAATCATTTACAACATTAGTGATTTTACTTATTATACTAACCCCCCCCCAGCCCCCACACCAAGATAGAGAGGATTCATTTCTGAACATTTCAAAAGAAAATAGTACTATTTGAGAGAACCATCTCCAAAGGGAACTTAGCCTTCCCAGAATCCCATCCAGAGGCAATGAGTGGTCTGTGGGGCTGAGGGCAATCCCTTGTGCACAGCCTGGGATGAAGATGCTACATGGCTGCCTCGAGGCATCCAGTAGTCCCCATTGGTTTGTGGGAACAAAACACTTTCAAAATGAGCAAGTTGGAGAGAAAAGGAACAAACAGAGAGAAGTTCAAAAGGGACACAAGTAAGTAAGTGTTAAAGGTCAGAGAGGGAATAAGAGGGGTAGTTGCAGAAGCAGATAACCTTTATAGTCAGCAGGAGGAAGAGCTCTTGGTTCTGGAAGGATTAGGCAGCCTCCTCCAAAGGAAGACTTTAGAGTAGGATACAAACACTTATGTTTGGTGGTTTGAGTAAAGTCGTGCTGGAGACAGAAAGATAAACTACACAATTTTTTGAAGATGATTTA